AATCTGATAATTCTTTTAGATCCCGTCACTTTACTTGAGAGTATTCTCTTAAGAATATTCCCTCAAGGAATAGTAACAGAATTTCTTAAATAGTTAGCAACTCTCCTGGATTTTGCCGTCACTCCGAGCAGATAGACCAGTGACTGGTTTTGTGGTTTTGGATTTCTTTTTTTCGTCATTTTTTTATAAATTTATTCCCAGTGACCTTCTTTAGTTGTATCACGTTTGATATTAATAGGTCTCATTTCATTTCTTGTCTCATTAGCTCATTATCCTTGCTATCTGCTTTGTATCTTTAAAGCCACAATTCAGTGCATTGAAGCTAGCCCGAACACTCACTTGAAATTTAGTGTCTCTTTGGCCATTTAACTTTGTTCCTCTGAGCTTAGACATACTTTTAGTATTTTCATTACCTCTCTTTCAGTTCTTCTGAAATTTGGAAGTTCTACACTTCCTAAAATCCAATACTCCCAGAGTATTGAGGTTTCAGTTAGCCTTTTTGTTTTGTGTACAACGAGCTTGGGATCGAACTCACATCACTCGCATCGAAGCGAATGAGATGCCCGCCGCCCAGCACGCTTAGCTATCTGACCAAATATAAATCTGATCAATATAAATAAAGATATATTTTTTAATTATATTTGAATAGTTTATAACTTGATGAGTGTAGTAAATCACATATAAACTATTGTAATTTATTCCTTTAAATCAATAGCGTTTTATTTAAAGTCTCTTCTCACAGGTTAATGCATAGTTGAAATGCATGGTACAATGAACACATTGTATTCATTGTACCATGGTTAACATGCACATTAATAATAAATGTGTTTTTTGAAACCTTGCTTACTTCATTGATTTCAACATACACTAACTTTGGCAACAGCCAGGTATGTAAATGTATTTGAAATTACCGCTCTGTTAGTTGGAGTTTTGTCAAAAATATCATTCTTGACTTTTCGGGTTTACTCGTAAATCGGTTAACATACTTTTAAACAACATACCTGATTAGTAGAATGTCTTTTTCTATTTAGCGTTTGAAATTCTCACGAGGGTAATATTACTTAATAACCAAGTTTATTAAATAATGCTGCCTAAATTTAAATATAAATTATAGTAATATATATTATTAAATAATAATAACTTTCCGTGGTTCTGTGGATGCGTTTGTGATAAACTTCTTTACCACGGAAACAATAATTAAATTAGTAAAATTGAATAAAACGTAGAAACAACTGTTAAGAATATTTATTTTGGAAAAAGTAATAAATTCTCGAAGGGACGGTATTTTTTGTATATATATCTTGTATTGTATCTGTATATGTCCGTTGCAACTGGTGTCTAAACTTTTATTACAGGGCTGGTCGCTCTATTATATTTCGTTCCCCATAAAAATGCAACGCTCTCAAAATGTATAATTAAAGTGTCGACATGTCGACATATCTAATATCTGTAATTTAATAAATATATTGACGAACACATTTCAATTTTTTTTTCTAGTATGTTTATACCGAATTTCGATACAAAGTGGAATTCTTCGTAATTAGCTTGCTGCTGCAACACCCCCATTCAAGAGAGATGGATAATGCATACACAGTTACAATGGACATTGAATATATCAGAAAAAGACAATGTTTATATATATATATATATATATATATATATATATATATATTTATATATATATATATATATATATATATATATATATATATATATATATATATATATATATATATATATATATATATATATATATATATATAGCGAGTGTTTGCAACTTCATCCCAATCGCCATAATTTCTTATCGGCCCAGTCTCCTTCTTGAAGACCTCTATTTTCCATTTCTATATGAATATTGGATATCCATTTCTTTCTTGGCCTTCCCCTTTTATTTCTCTGTGTAGGTCTCCAGTTCCAAACCTTTCGTGTTATCCTTTCTTCGTTCATCCGTCTCAGGTGTCCATACCATTTTAATTGTTTTTCGGCTATCGTATCCATTATTGTGTTCTTTACTTTCATTCTCTCTCTTATGTTTTCATTTCTTATGTGGTCAAACAAAGTTAACCCGGAACATCTTCTCCAGTACATCATTTCCGTTGAGAGGAGTTTTTGTGACATATTCTTGTTAAAGACCCACACTTCTGACCCATACGTCAGCACCGGCTGAATCATAGCCTGATATATATTTTTCTTTGTTTTCTTAGTTAAAGTTTTATTCCACAGGATCGGATGTAGTGTTTTTATCATGTTTTTTCCTTTTCCTATTTTTCTTGTTATATCTTTGTCGTCTCTCCCGTCTTCGCTTAGTGTAACTCCGAGATATTCGTACTGATCAACGTTTTTAATTAATCCGCTTTCTGTTTCCATGTCTTGACCGATGCCTCCTATATTCATGTATTGTGTCTTTTCGGTATTAACCTCTAATCCCCATTTTTTGAATTCGTCTATTAGTTTGTTTATCATGTACGTCATATCTTGTAGGTCCTCGGCAAGAACTACCTGGTCGTCTGCGAAGAGGATTGTGTATATAGGAGTGTCATTTACCCATATGCCCATTGGGCTGCATTTTCTCATCCAATATTTTAAAGCATTACCAAGATATATTTTAAATAGGGTTGGGGAGAGGCAAGAGCCCTGTTTGACACCCTTTGTTTGGGTGAAACCCTTGGAAATTTGGTTTCCAACCTTAATATAAGCTTGGTTATCTTGATATAGCTTTTTCACGGCATTTATATATACTGCATTTATACCTGCGTTTTCCAATGTTGTCCATAGTCTCTGCAGTGGTACGGAGTCAAACGCTTTACGGAGATCTATAAAAGTGGCATGAAGTTCTAGTCCTCTTGCTAATCTCTTTTCTATTAGATGTTTGAGAGTAAATACATTGTCGACACAAGATCTCCCTGGTCGGAATCCACTTTGTTCTTCGATCTCTGTGGCTTCTTTTTCTATTCTGGCTTTCAGAACTCTTTCATACAGTTTGCCAGTGGATGACGTAATGCTGATACCTCGGTAATTACTGCAGTCATTCCTGTTTCCCTTTTTGTAGATGGAGTTTATGTACGAGACTTTCCAATCTCTTGGGATACTTTCTCCTTGTAGGCACTTGTTAAACATTTTACAAAGCAATTCTAATGTTATTGCAGTGGCATGTTTGAATAACTCGATAGGTAAATCACCCGGCCCAGGAGCTTTATTATTTTTCATTTTTTGTAATGCGTTTTTTATTTCTTCTACGGTAATCATCGCCACTTCATTTAACCCCGTTTCAACTATATCTATATGTGTGTCTAGAAACTGTGTACGTTGTTCATTTAATAGATTTTCGTAATAATTTTTCCATCTTTCTATGTCTATGGGGTTTATTTTTTTTGTTTCGTTTGTATTTTTTCTAAGACTGTTGATAGTTTTCCAAGCTTGTCTGGACCTAGATCCTCCTACCATTGAGCTTATTTCTGCACACTTGTTGTCCCAGGTTATGTTTTTTGTTTTTTTAATTTCCTTTTTTACTATATATTTGTATCTGTTATAGTTCTTTCGGTCTTCCTCATCTTTTGTCGCTAACCATTTGAGATACAGTTTTTTCTTTTCTTCTACCAGTTCTAATAAACCTTCTGTCCACCAATAATTTCTACGTTTTACTTTTTCTTTCGTACCTAGAGCTTCTAATGCTGCTTCATGAATTTTGATTTTCAAAGTCTCATACATTTCTTCCGCTGTTCCGTTTATTTCTTCGTCTAATTTTTGTGCCAAACGTAGTTTATAGAGAAAACTTGTGGACTCATTTTTTAAGCTGGCTATGTTATAGAGCCGTATGGATTCTTTGTTTGTCTGTTCTTGGGATTTATGTTGTTTAATATATCTTATTTCCACGGGTGCCTTTACTAGTAGGTGATCCGATCCACATTCTGCCCCTCTCCAAACTTTTACATCGTAGGGTCTTAAAGATGTCTCTTGTTTAACTACTATATAGTCTATAATTGACTGCAGTTTTCTTGTCTTTTGAGTCCATGTATATTTATTTATGTCTCTATGTTTGTAAAATCCATTCAGTATTTTTAACGAATGTTGTTCGCATACCTCCAACCATCTTGTTCCGTTCTCATTTACTACATCTTCTCCGTGTTGTCCAATTATTTTGTTGTCAAGAGCTTTACCTACTCTTCCGTTCAGGTCCCCTAGCAGGACTATTTCTTGTCTTTTTTTTATTTTATTTAACTCTTCTGAGAGTTTGTCGAAGAACATGTCTTTAGTGTTTGTATCTGAGTCGTCCGTGGGTGCATAGATGCCAATTATTTTTATGTCTCTCCCCTTTGTTGTAAGGTCTACTGTTATAATTCTTTCGTCTATCGGGTTCCAGTTGGTAATACATTTTTCCATGTTTTTTCTTATCACGACCGCTACTCCAGCTTTGGCTCTTTTTGATTTTTCTACTCCGCTCCAGAAGTATATATAGTCGTCTTTGTAGTGGTTCCCCTGTCCTTTCTTTTTTGTTTCGCTGAGTACTGCGATGTCAATTCGGTATGTACTGAGTTCCTTAAATACTTGATCTTCATTTGTATTCAGTCCTTGTATGTTCCAACATCCAAAATTCGTTAGCCTTTTTCTTTGCCTATGTCGTTTTCCTTTGAAGCCATCCGAGTTCCGAGGCTGTTCCTTGGGATTTTTAGCAATATTTCTTTTACGCAGGGCGGGGAGCTAACCTACCGCTGTAACCCTCCTCCTTCATCCGGGCTTGGGACCGGCACTGGCATTTACTGAGCTACTCAATCCACCCAGTATCTACCAGAGGCGGAGTTTGACAATGTTTACAAGAAAAAAAAAAAAAAGGTTACACTGAAAACAAATATTTTAACTCAAAAAAATGATTTAACTGACACTTGCTTGATAACTTCCCGCAAATCTAGTTTGTCTCTTGGGTCTGCTGTTCTCAAAATTGTTGTAGGTGTTTGTTTCCCTGGACACTGTTATTTTTTTTTTGGTTTTTGATTTACATTGAC